AGGAGGTTTTAGTTATTTAGTTTCATAGATTACAGAATCACAAAATCTTCATGGTTGCCTAGCTCTGAATAAAACATTTTAGGAAAAAAAAAAGTTACAAAAAAGGTTACATCTTTGCTTTGATGAGATTTGTTTTGTGAGTCACCATGTGAGATTGCTTCCTTACTATAATCTTAGAGTAAACTTCCAAAAATATGTACTATATCAGAGCCCCCTTCTTCAAATAAAACCAAAAACTACCATATACTTTGACAAAAACAAGAAGTTGAGAAATGGCTGTGTACTGGAATACATTATTATTTTTCCTCTTCAAAATAAAAAAAATATTGAAGAATGTTAAGATTCAAATTTTAGATGAGAATAAAAACCTGCATTTTATTTGGCCCATGTATACACAGTATAATTGTTCTCTAATACTGCTTTATAAAGCAGTCTCACATTTAAATATTTAGAGAAAAAGAAAACTATTTATCTTATGATTATGATTTTTGGAGAAGAACTATGTGCTTTGCACACAATCACATTTTTGGCACAAAAGCAGTTTGTCACTGAGTGACCACAGTTTCACACAGGTAAAATTCATTTCAGAGTTCAGCCAATTCTATCACAGCAGACTGAGTTTATTCCTTTCCTCCTTGCTCCCGGAGTATATGCCTGCTGCCCCTCTTTGCCCCAAGACCACCACCAAAGGCCCAAGGAGCTCAACAGTTGGCTTCTCGTCGCTAGTGAATGCACATATTCTTTTTCTTGTAGTGCCACCTAGAAGCAACCAGAGGGTACAGCAACGGTTCTACAAGCAGAGCTTGAGAGCCTTTGTTCAACTTCTCGTTCCTGGCAGCATTCTTTCAAATATAAAGTTCTTTCCATTGACCTCAAAAACATCTGAAAACAGATTTCACGCACACATCAAAGATGACTGTAAACTCTTCCTTCCCTCAGGTGCATTCCATAGGGTTTTTTAAAAAAAAAAAAAAAAAAAAAAAAGTGGGTTTTGGTTTTTTTCCTTGAGGAGAGATGGTAGCAGCTTGTCTCTCATTTTGGGGTGAACAGGCTTAGTGGTATCAGAGAAAGGCTTGTAGAAGGAGACCTTTAGGGGAACTTCCCTTGGGGCAAACTGGCCTACTACTGTGTCTCACCTGAGGATCTGCTCCATTGAATATCCTCTGACTTGTTCCAAAGATGTAGTCCATAATCCAGGCTGTTTCTTTTTGAGTTAGGGAAATTTATCTAATAGTTACGTTTTAAAATAAATAAACTTCCTTAATGATAATCTTTTTGCATTTGATAGCCTGGGAGAGAAACAGCTGAGGGGTAGATAGAGTAGATAAGCTTGTGACTGAAGTGGAGGCAGTGAACAGGAAAGAGCTGCTCGCTCTCTTTCAGGCTGAGAATTACAACAGTCAAGTGATGCTGGAAGGCAAAAGATTGAAACCAAGTAAGACGAAGAGCTTTTTTTGCACGATATTCTGGCCAGCTGCGGAGTCTTTTGTCCCTTCCTCAGTCTGCTGGATGTCACAAAACTTAATGTGAGTTCAGAAGCACCTGGATGGAAGAAATCAGAATTTCATGAAAAGCAGAAAGTTATAACCCCTGGCTTTGGAAACTGCTGAGCTGTAAGGGACCAGAAACTGAAAGAACACGGGGAGAAGATGTTGGAGACTACTTACTTTCCTTCTGCTTTTTCTCCTCTTTTTAAGCAGCTGCTCTGAGACAACATCCTGGGCTGGGTGGGCCCTATGGCTGTGATGTGCCTGTTCCTCTGTGTATATAGCTTTTCTGAGATGGTCATAGAGTAGTGAAATGCTGCTAAACTTGTGAACCTGTGGGTTTTGGTCCTATATATCTGTTACTGTTGGATTTTGGTCCAATTCTTGTCTATTTTTCTGTACACTGCCCACCTGTAAAGGCATTGGAAGGTCACTAATAACCCTGGCCAATGCTTTTTGACGCAGGATTCATATAAATGAGCAGTTCTTAAGGATTGCAATTTTTTGAAAAGCAGTAATGGTGCTTTGACCCCAGTAAAGGGTCAAAGTCCTGTGCTGTCGTTAGGTATAAAGAAACCAGTGAGTGCTTGGAAGAGAAGCCTGAAAAATGTTGAAACACTGTTTGAGAACAAACAGGTAGGTCTGGAGGTGGTTAATCACGCGGATCTTGTCAGCCTGGCAGCTGTTTAGCCTGGCCAGATACGGCTGAGGCCTCAACGGGTACAATATGGCCTCAACAATGTACAATATGATTTCAAAAAGTTTTCTGTCCACTAGCAGGGCAGAAGCACAACATTTTCAGACTTCAGCAGAAGGATTTCAGGAAAGGGTGATGCAGAGATTTTGGAAACACATTAGCTGTTGGTCAGAGCTAGGAGTGGAGCACCAGAGAAGTACTGATGCACCCGCTCAGCTGTTAGTCTTTGTTGTTACCGTGTACCTATGCTACAAGGTGACTTCAGGTAGGACATGGATAAGGAGTGTGGGCTGTCCAAATGCATGCTGATCAAGTGAGTTTGGTCTCACTAACAGATGATGCTTAAGAGGACCCTGTCAGGAGTTTATGGCATTTGTGTAGCTGTTACAACCTCAGAAAGGCATCAGGAGTCCTACAGTGACTCTAGCTTTTGAGGTCTCCTAGGAAATATTGATAAAGGAACTAAGAGATGCAGCAGATGAGTCACAAAAAGCTCATTTCTGCTACATAAACTGCAGGGCGCTGAATCCAGTGGGGGAGGTAAGTTTTGTGTAGCTCTGTCAACAATCAAGCCTCATCAGACTTCTTACTGAAAAACTTAGAACTGAGGAAGGCTTCACCAGGATTTATAGCCTGACCAAGTGTGACGCGTAGGTCCCTCTGGTTTGAGTACAAGAGGGACAACCGTGAAGAAAGAGGAGTTCTCTAATGGCATCACGCCCAGACAGAAGCATCATTAAGCAGATGACAGGGTACATACCAGCCTGTTGCAGACCCACACATCCTCCTGCTCTGTCATATTGTTGAACTACAACGTGGCTTGCGTGGTGCATCAGGAAGCCAGCCGCTGACCCCTGGTGCTAATCAAAGACCTTTTCCTTTCAGATCAACGTTATGGAGCACAGTTGGCCTGTGTGTGTTTTTGTGGTGCGTTTTTGTTTGATGGGGGGGTCTTTCTGTGTGCTTGCTTTTCAGGCAAGGGCAAGTCGGCACCCTAAATCTTACACAAAAGACGCATAGCTGTCTGCAGACTTTTTCCAATTTTGCATGTGTTTTTGCCTCACAAGAGATTGGCATAATTTCTATATTCTATGTTTGTAATTCTTTTGTAACTGATAACATTTTGAAACCATTGCCCACCGTACCCCTGCTCCCCCAGACCATCACACTGAAAAGGGATAAAATTGACCCAGTTACTGTCATGCCACGTTGCATCTTATGCATACAGGGATTGCCAGATATCAAGCAGGGAATCTAGAAACTCTTCTTGCTGTGTGAATTCGCTGTGCTGGGCCCATTGAGCTAAGGCAGGACTGCAGGATCCCGTGGATCTGTGTCACCCAAATCTCTCTTTGGAGCTTGTGAGATTCAGCCTGCTTCTGCTACATGGGAGAATGGAGTACAAATAAGAAGCTCCATAGTACAAAGGTGTGTGGTTTATAAATCCATATCAGCTGGAAGGCTGATGATGAAGAGGAGGCTGGTGTGCACAATATTTTCATCAAAATGTGGATGTAGAGGAGGAGAAAACTACATATGCCTTGGGAGTACCACTGCTGTGCTTTCCTCGAGGGAAAATACTGTGGTATTTGTGGTAAATGCAAATAGTACAATGTTTAGTTCCTCAAATTTCTTTGTAATCATTACTCACGCAAAGCTTAAGTATAATCTCACAAAAATTTGTATCTTTCCATGTAAGAGACATTGTATACCATATGAGGTACTTAGGTACAGGTGAATTTGCAATGCAGATCATCCTGTCTGAACAGAGTTTTGGCGAGTATCACCAGGACGGTGGGGTCATACCAGTAGCCCAAATTTCTGTCTTTGGCACAGTGGCAGACCTGTTTTATCTGTGGTGGGAACAGGACCATTGACACCTGAAGTCTTGATACCCGAAGTACTGTGCGGGTCTTGAACTTGCTGAGGCTTTTAACAGAGACTCGTCACATCTGGGTGCTTTCCTGCCTCTCCCCAAGTCCTCTTTCTTCACCTTGCCAAAGAAGGAAATTAGGTTGCTTTGATGTGATCTGTTCTTTTTACGGTGTTTTCCCCCCTCCATGTTCTTGGCATTTAGAAATGCTGTGTGAGTAAACAAAAATATATGCTTTTTATACTGATAATGCTTATTATGCAGATGATGGCTTCCACAGTTTATCGCGCAAAGCCTCTGTACTCACTGCTTTTCAGCTAACATTTTACACTTTTCTTTTGTAATCTCTGCCAGAAATAATGTCGTCCCTGCTGCTTCTGTACATGCGGCTGCATACACGCTTGAAACACTGACAAGCCTGAAGGCTGCAGGCACCGGCAGGATGGAGCAGGCACCAGGACGTTGTTCAACCACCAAGCTGGCTGTGCCCGTGTCGATCTGCTGGGACAGAGCATCCTAAAGAGCTCTGTGAGGGGAAGAGACCAGAGCAAAGTCCAGGAGGTAGGTCTGCAGCTCTCCTTGAAATGATCTTGCTGATGTGACAAGCGGTGACTTTGGCAGCGAGGACTTTGATGTGGGGGGAATTGACTGAAGGGGGTGACTTAACGGTGGGGGCTTGCAGACAAGTCTGCAAGCAGCTCGATGGAGAGGTGAAGGAAATGGAGAAACATTTTGAGCTGTTAATGGGAGCTTTTCTGCAGCGCAGTGCAGTTTCTCCTCCCTCCCTGTCTAACAGGAAACTTCTACCCTCTTTTACAGTGCTACTCCTTGCCAATGTATACAAGTTCTGGCCCTTTGGGCCCGACTTTTATGTTATGTGGTAGTTTGGGGGTAAAGGTTAACCCTCTCTCCACCGTAGTAATAGTATTATTTTAAACCCTCGTATGAGTAGGAACGAAGCTGTTAAACTCTAGATTGCCTCAAATTGCGACTGAGTAAACTCAGTAAACTCTATTTACTGGGATTATAATTAACTAACTATTTTTTTTCTTATTTGTATCTTGACTCCTGCCTTTATGGTGCATTAAGTCCTTGGCAAACGTGGAAACTCCTATCTCTTAAAGTCAGAGAATTTAAATACTCAATCAGGCTTGAGAATTTCCGTGGCTGACTATCCCTGGTGTTTCTAAACACTTCCTTGCTTTAACGGGGCTGCAAAACCTCTGACTGGCAGGACAGAATATTTTGGGAGGTACCAAGGGATTTGCCGAGAGATTTTTCTGTTCAGGCATCCACCAGAACAGCTTCCATCAAAAGTTATTGTAAAGCAGTTCAGGTTTGTTGGGGATGCAGAGGAGCCAGGTTCACTTCTCTGTTGTGCTGCTGTCTTCTTGCATGATCCTGCAGAAGATGTTTGCCCCTTTTGCTGGCCGGAGTGCAGAGACACAGACTCTCTTCCCCTCAGCATAATTCTGGGACGTGGACATGCAGGAATTAATGTTAGATATTTTACTGCAGTCATGGGGATCGCCGATCTGCTGGAGGCAACTGGAAAAGAGCATCTAGCCTTTTCTAAAGAATATATGGAGAGTTGGGACTGAGGGGCAGACAGACAAACAAAACAACTTACTGTCAGCACTGCAGGTACTATTAGGAAGCACAGATCTATGTATCCTGTGCAATGAAGAGCCCTCATGTTTAGCACTGAGACAAGGTGGTATGTGGTACCCGTGATCTCTGCTGAACCTGTGTTTCCTGTGTGTGTGGTGAGAAGCTGTCTTTCCTTTTCCAGAAGCGCAAAACAGGCTGTGGCAAACCATAGATTTTTGGTTTTGTTTTTCTGTGGGGCACTGTGTTGAGTCTTCAGGGTCTTAAAATTGGCAGGCTTATCATTTAATTAGGCTTGGGTCTAAAAGTAATGGCATATTTTTCCACATCTCATGATTAGAGGTCCATAAGGCAGCATGTAAGTAATTGCAGTTACTTAGCTCTTAAGTTGTCAGTAATTTAGAGGAAACCTAATTATTACATTAGGTAGGCCAAAGCATGGGGGTGAGCTGTGTGGAACAAGGCTGGCAGTGGGCACAGCTATGTTACAAGGGCATAGACTGAGGCTCCAGTATAGGGAAAGTGGGTGGAAAATGAGACAAACTTGATAGAATCAACTGATCTAGACTTAATGCCAATAAAAAGTACTCCTACAGAAGCTCTGCGATCCCTATCAATAGGGAGTTTTGCGATGGAAATAACCATCTAGCAGCAGTAAACACTAGCACATGAATAAATTAACTTCCCAGCTAGCAGCATTGAATAATCAAATAGAGTTAAAAGTTTAATTCAGACAGTTAGTTTACTAAAAAAAAAAAATAAAATAATTAACTTAGCAAAGCACATCATTACTTTTCTCCTTCCCCAGCTTCTTGGGAACATCATCCCCTCTGCCTTCCCCACAGACCCATCAAGTGACTTGATTTGTATAGAGTAGAGGGAAAACCACAAGAACTGAGTCTTTCTGCAGAGCTGGTCATGCAAACCACTCAACCAAGTTTGCATTGCTGTGTGAGTGGGTGTGTATTGAGCAAACAGAGATATTTTATCAGGGAGAACTTTTCCCAGAGTGTTTTTGCCTGGAGGAGAGGGAATTGTTTCTGTAGTTCCTGCTATTACAGACACTGGTTTTGCCTCTGATGCCTTTGAGGGATGGGGAGTAGCAAGTCAGAGAAAGCACCTGCTTTGCTGCTCTGTTTGATTTGTCATTGTTGTTAATGCTACCTACATGAAAGCACTTACCCTCATTGATCCCTTTTGCCATTCTCCTCTTTCATCATTTCCCAAGCCCTCTTCTGCTGCTCCTACTCTTCTCAGCACCCATCCCCTTTTTATTTTTTAACCTAAGTAATAAGCAAGTAGCCTGGGTTGTGCTATGCATCAGCAGAAGGACTTTCGCATGGGACAGAGAACAACATGGTGGGGTAGGAGCACTCCTGCTCCCCTGCATCTGCTGTCCTTGTTTGAGATAAAACTGAACCAATTTTCTGTTCAGTAATTACAGTAATAACTAAACTCTTCTAACTAACTAAAACTCTGAAATTAGCAGCTTATTGTGCAGTAAGTTTTGCTCTTAGAGTGGTAAGACCTGATTATGCCAAGGAATGGTATGCAGAGAGGCTCTTGCTGATACTGCTGTAACAACTAAGGTCAGCTAACTTTGTTATTTGCCTGTTTGAAGGTTTGGAAGCTGAAAAGCATAGAGAGGTCACATATATGGGGAGGAGGGGACAAGACAGGTGACCCAAAACTGACCAATGGGGCATTCCATCCCATCTGCCCTGTGCTCAGTATACAAGCTGAGCGATCAGAATGTCAGCCCTCTTTCTTCAATGGCTGGCATCCAAGGAGGACCCTGTCTGTTGGTCTGCCTTTAATCCCAGTCTGAGCACTACTGAATCCAGACCTGGAATCCAGTTCCCATCCGTTGTTGAGTCCAGTCAGGGACTTTCCCTGTGCCTGCCGGTGATGTGATCATCATCCTGGGAGCTAGGTACTGTTTTGTATATATTGTATGTATTTCTTTTTTTTTTTTTTTTTTTTTTTTTTTTCATTTTCATTAAAGTAGTTCAGTTTTTTCTAAGCTCATAAATCTCTCTCTCGAGGTAAGGGAGAGCACATGTCTCTCGCTTTAGTGGTCAGTTTGGCCCAAACCACAATAATCAACTCTCTCCACTTCCTCTCCTTCTACAGACTTGCATTCAGATTTGACCTTTTCACTTAACTCTTGCTCTGTGGAAAGCACAAAAGCAGGTTTCCCCATGACAGCATTTGTAGCGAGTACTATGCATTTCAAATACACCGAGGAGAGAGCAGTGCCTACTGACAGCCTGAATTTTCCAAGAATCTGTATTCTGGTAGCAGCCAATGTGTCTTGCCACTTTGTGCTCTGGGTTAACTGCTCCCAAGCTGATGTGACAACAGATAAAGAGATGGCCCCCACCAGCTGTGTGGAGCACCTTTCCTTCTCCATAGAGCCATCCTGCTCTGAGCAGAGATCCCTCCAGCCTCCCTGGACAAAACCCAACCTTCAAAGCAAGATTTTCATCATTCTGCCTGTGGGGAGGCATCTCGTTCCCACCAGGCTCTGGGTTTCCTGTGATGGACCTGGGCAGTTCATGACAGCTCTATCCCCAGGGCAGGGTCCAGGGAGCTTGTGGTCTCTGCAGATCCACCTGGCAGCTTCTCCCTTTAATCACTGAAGCGCTTGTGTTTAGTGGAGCAGAAGCTATATCAGAGAAGACACAATGCGGAAAGAGAATGAAGTGCTGGGGAGTTGCAAAATTTCTTGTAGTCTCAAACAAAGTGTTTGACAAGCTGTTAATAAATCGGTGTGATTTGAATACAGGCAGTCTGGGAGTACCTCTGCAGTGCATATGAAATGCCGTAACACCACCACGGATTTTGATGAGATGTAGTGGTTTGGGGTGGGCTGGTCACTAAACAAATGACAGATGTTCTCTTTAACCTCTCTCCCTTCCCAGGCCAAAACAGGGAAGGTCTTCCCAGAGGAGGGAGAGAGAATAAGGGAGAAAATCTTATGGATTGAAAAGAACACTAGAACTACTTTAATGAAATACTAATAATAAAAAGAAAAGATAGTAATAAGAAAATAATTAAATGTATATAAAATATATGCAAAACTAGTATCAAGCTCCTGATCATGATACCAGCAAGCATTGGGAAAGTCCCAAACTGGACTCAGTGACAAACAGGTACTGGGTTCAGAAACTGGATTCAGAACCTGGATTCAGGAATGCATGGATTAGGATCGAAGGCAGAAGAACAGAGAGAGTCCTCCTTGGACACCAGCCATTAAAGAAAGAGGCCGACCTCTTTTGATCCCTTGGCTTTTATACTAAGCATGATGCAGATGGGATGGAATACCCTGTTGGTCAATTTTGGCCAATGAGGCCAATGACACATCTGACCTTTCTTGGACTGGTTAAAGCAAACTCTTAATTGGGTGCTTTTAAGTTACAGGTGGTCTCTAACAAAAGTAGCTTGTCTGAACCTTCACTGTTTTTCATGGTCAAGTTTGCCCCACAGGAGTTTTTGCTATACGGGGAGAAGGAGAAAAGAGTAGATGTTAAAATGTACATACCTACAGGTCTTTGACTTTTGAATTAAAATTACCTTGAATAATGCAGCTGCTACTTTAAAGAAGTGGCTTTATGGAAATTGCTTTATTCCCAAGAAGGCTGTTTCCAATAGTCATAGATGAGTTGTTCGTGAAGGGAGGGGCTTCTGGAGGGGCTGGAGGGCTGCTTCTTCAGTGCCAATAGGGTCTGCTGTCTTTTTTGCTGCAAAGCAGTCAGTTTCGTATTTTCTAACTTGTACTGCTGATACAGGAGTGCAAGGGGCAGTTGACTGTGTGGACTGCAGGAGAGACTTGGCATGTAGAGCAAGAGGAACGTGAGAGTTAGTAATTTGTTTCTGCCCAGGGTGAAGGGAGCTGCAGACTCCTGCTGTGCAAAACTGACATGGGCTTCACTGAGTTGCACAGTCTGGGA